ATGTTTTTTTTTTTCAAGCTGGCCTTTATCAGATAGAACACAATGGATTTAAGGAGCAATAATAGGATAAATTCTAGAAGTTCAACTGAGGTTGAAAAATGACCAGCCCCAAATATCGGTTGCACCCCCCCCCCCCTAGACGAAATCCTAGATCCGCCCTTGCCAACTAGTAAGATTTGCATTTTTAGTAACTAAAACAGATTGCTTATATCCTTTTTCCAATGATGATGCACTTTATTCTCATCTTTTGTGTGTATTATAAAAAACCGTATTTAAAATTTAACTATTTAAACAAAAGTCACTCAAATCCTCTGTATCTTCCGCCGAAGTTTAAGTCAATTGGATTTGATTCTTTATTGAGGCTAATACCAATAAAGTGACCATATCTTACTTCTTCTCTTCTTGTCAAAGTATTTACGTCAGAGAATAATTATTTACAGACGGAAGGTCACATTTCAAAAATAGGACACAGAAAACTTACTACATTTCAACTAATTATGTCACAGCTTTCAAGCGATGTTTTAGGTTTAAACAGTTTTGCCACATCTCGTTCATAAGAAAATGTGAAAATACTCAGATTTGGGGGTCAAATATTGATGTAAATAAAAAATGTTTGAACTACTTTATTCCCGGCATTTTGCTCAGCCACTTTTATTATTTGCTGGCTACGCTGCTATCAGATCTCCCATACTCTCTATTACAAAAACTTCAAATCTATTCGTAAACCTGACTCTCTCCATGCGCTCAGAAAGCTAACCGCCTACCATTTTGCCTAACGACTTCAATATCGTGCCTTGAACCATTATAAAAATCTCTTCGACGTTTGCAAAGAGCACAGTGACATACATAAATTAGAGGGTAGCGGGTGGTGTCCTCCCTTCTGGAAATAGAAGATATCGCCCGTGCATTTCTGTACCAGCCTCCTGCCAGACACCGCACGAGGCATGATGTAGCGTAGCCGAACCGGATATATGACGACATTGTACTTAGTAGGAATGAGGTGTACATTGTACTCAAATACATGAGGTCTCATTGAGGATAGTATAATAGTAACATTCCTCGTGTATTTGAGAATGATCAAACAGAGCGTGTTAAAAAATATAGTAAGATTGTAATATTCATAACACCCTCAGGCCCGGTTTTTCAATCGCAAGTTAATTGTAAATTGACTAGTTACTAACTAGAACTTAACTCTCAAAAAGCGTGTTTCAATATCAAGTTTGTCCTAAAGCGGTACCAAACTTCAACCAGCAGCCCATGTATGTATGTGAACATAGTGGCGGCATAATGTCGGCATTTCAAGTGCACTATAGTCAACGCCAAACAAAGTGGCGTGCACATCATCACGATAAAAATTCCCCGACCTAATGCCTAGGTTTCTATCACAAACAATTGCTCTATTGCAGTTTCATATTAATGTGATATATAAATTGTAAAATGGTCATTACTCTCTTATTATGGTTAATAGTCATATAAACATTGTTATTAAAATATCACATAAGTTGCTTTCTGATAAATTTAGACGCATTATGCGAAATAAAATGTTTTGCAAACGCTCCAATCACTTATCGACATGTAAACGCACTAAACCGATTTCGCAGCGTTGACACATTGTCACCTTGAAACTTATTTAAACTGGGAACTGACATTTGTATTAATTTTGACACTGAATCAATTTGTGGCATTTCAAATCTTTATAAATCCTTTGGCCCCGCATACTGTAAATCAACAACTGTTTGTTTCAAAACAAAATTATTCATTGATGCCCAAACAGTTAAATAGTCGGTGTAAGGAACTCGTGGCCTCGTTAATGCACTACTTTGAGCAAGAAAGGGACAACAACGGGCCTTTGTTGCCTTTAAATGCTGTTCAAGAGGTAAGTTACTAATAATTATATGTAATGTATATTAATAATAGTGAAATTTTATTTCATTTTTTGTAGCGTGTTGCTGCTGCTTTAAAAATTAGTTTAAGGACAGTTAGTCGTATTTCCGAGGGTGTGAAAAGTGATGCAAATTTAGAATCGCCCAAGAAAAAGCGGAGTTATATTAAACGTGTAACCAACACAGCGACATTGGATACAAGTGCCATTCGAGAAGTGAATCTATAATATGTATCACAAAAGTAAGATCTTATTATAATAACTTATCAGAAATTTGCATTAATTTGTTAACTAAATTATAATGTCATATTACACATGGTTTCAGAAGAACAAGTTACGATACAAACTTTATGGTCTCGATTAAGAGATAGGGCATTATTTGATGGTAGTGCCACGTCTTTAAGGCGGTTGCTTAGAGATCTTGGATTTAAGTGGCTTAAGGACAATCCGCGACGAGGGCTCATGGAACTACCAAGTATAGCTTTGAAAAGGGTGGAATTTCTAAGGCAATACAATCAAGCCAAGGTTGAGGCCTTATACCAGTTTGTCTTCCTCGATGAAACTTGGATATTTCAAAATGGGACCATAGGTCGCTCTTGGCAAAATGGAAACGAAAAAAGCGTGAAAGCTATTAAAACAGATGGTAAAAGGTATGTACTTTTACACAATTTGCACTATAAAATTTAAAACTAATATATTTTAGATACATTATATTACATGCTGGAAATGAAAATGGGTTTATTGGGGGTAGTGAAGCGATATTTTCTTCGAAAACAAAATTGAGCGATTACCATGGAGAGATGAACCAGGACAATTTTTTGAAATGGTTTCAACATCAGTTATTAGAAAAATTGGAGAGTCCATCTATGATTATACTGGATAATGCCCCTTATCACAGCATGATATTGAACAAAGTGCCCAACAATGCATGGACAAAAAAAAATATCCAAGACTGGTTGACAAATCAAAACATACCATTTTTAAGCACAATGTTTAAAACAGAGCTATTGAGTATTGCTGCTCGGTACATAATGCTTCTTAATTATATATATTTTGGTCGACAGTTTATATTTCTTTTGTTTATTCCTATTCTTAAAATAACTGCTTTTTTAGAAACAAACCACCTAAAATATACGTGATTGATGAATTGGCGGAACAACATGGGCACAAAGTTCTTCGTCTGCCTCCTTACCATTGTATATTTAACCCTATTGAGTTAATTTGGGGCATAGCAAAAGGTTACTATAACAGACATATTGGTAGAGATGGTAACAGTGAAAAAGACTGTTTGGATATGTGGAACGAGGCTCTACAAACGGTTACCCCAGACATGTGGAAAAATAGTGTTCGACATACTGAGCAAGAAATTTTTAAATGGTATGAAAGAGAACGAATTTTTGATCGACCAGACATCGAACCTTTAATAATCAACTTTGAGAGTGATGAAGATTCAGATTCAGACAGCGCTGAAGAAAGAAACTCCGACTAACTTTATTGTACAGAAAAAGCTTACACCAGTAGCTTACCTAATTTTAGAATGCATTTTTCTGTATGAATTCTGTAAAATAAATACCATGCATAAAATTTGGAGGACCCCATTTGGATTTTTATTCAGTACCTTTAAGCTATCAATTAAATATGGTAGTTTCATAGTGTCATATTATTATACTATTATTTTTGTTCTCATTTGAGGTTAATATTGCTTATAAACCTAGATATGTAAATAATAAATTTTATTATTTTACAAAAAGTTTGGCAACAATGTAAATTTTTCAACACACCCACCTTGATGACGTGCACGCCACTTTGTTTGGCGTTGACTATATTTACGTATGCCGACCAACAAAAATGACGTAGACATGACAGTCTCATGTCACACCCAATTGACGTCATTATATGACGTCATAGTATGTCATATAATTGCCCAAATACAAAGTCGATATGAAGTCTAAATGACGTGGATATGATGCCTATCCGAGGTCGATATGACGTCTATGTCACGTCTATATGACGTACAGACGCTCGCAAAAATAATCGCGCGGTGTATCCAAATGCTTATGAAAAATTGAGGATGTGACAACGACACCCCACAAGCAGTGGGTTCAGAAGAGGTAGAAAAGCACCGAAACTCATATTCGACTTACCTACCACTCTTGAACCTTCTCGTTCCGTGACGTCGTTATTACGTCCGCATTTTTTTAGGAGCAGTTGTACAGAGTATATCGAAATTATTATTAAAGAACTAAAAAACACCTTTTGATTTCAAATATGTTCCAGTCCTTCGATGGTTCAGAATTTGTTTGTAGCAATTTATCACAATCCCTTTCTTTTTCACAGGAGGCCAGACTTCTTGTTTCCTGGATGTCACCCAGGTCTTATTGACTATCTGGCAACACTATCGTCCCTACTAAATTTTTGCCATAATGTACCTTAAACACGACGAATCCATCGTGATGTCGGTCAAGCTCATGGATTTATTATGAACATGAAATATTATTATTTAAAAAGTCATGTTAATAAAATATTTTTGGTCGAAGAATTCCTCTTACTTTTTCACAAATAATAAAGCAGTTTTTAGTATTCGGATATCTAGTTTACCTTACTGTTCATTAAAAGCCTATATTTTCTTTGAACGTAAAATGACACCCTTCCAAAAAAACGTCTTGTTATCGTCATAAAAATGGTGTCTATATAGACGTCATTTTTAGTCAGTGACGTTTCTGACCAAAAATGGCAAAATAATGACGTCATTTTGGCGTCATCATGTTCACTGGTACGTAACGTGCTTGACAGTGACATAATTTGACATGGATGACAGGATATACCAAACATCACGAAATATCTGTCTCGTGACATAATTTAAAAAAAAAAATCCATCCCCGGTACTTTAGTTTTCCCCAACGGTAAAGTAGGGCCTGGGATTTCGCTCTGGACTGGGGCTCCTTTAACCACAGATTCTGTGTTTTCTGTACGTGCAGGGGCTCCTAAATAGGTTGAGGAGGTCCTGGATATTGCTGGTAGAATTAAGGATAGGGAAGACGTACCTACACAATTTGTGAAATATAATTTAAGACAACAAGTATTGTCATTTCTCAACAGGAAAATGCATATTACTTACGATATCCACTGGTATATCCCAGAAACAGTTAGTTCTCGTTGTTCGCTCAAGGCGTACTCGATCAGCTCCGTATATGTGAAAGGCGGCTTCTTCGGGCCGCCATATCTGCAATACTGGGCGGAATTTCTACTCGCATCTCCTTTGACTTGAGATACGATTTCGTTGTTCTGTTGTGGCACCTTTTGAAAGATACCATAATAAATCAGAAAAATGGATAAACAAATAAATCGTCGCTTTAATGCGGAGGTAGCTTATATCTGAAAAAATACACGAGCTTTTTACATTTTACATGCAGAAAAATGAAGTTACTTCAAACAAATATATCCCAACGACAAAATGGAAATTCGACATTCAAACATTTGAAATGAGAATTGGAAACATACGATACATTATCGTTTCAAAAGTACTTATGGTAAATGTAACATCTAAAACTTATCCTGTGGTTGTAATGCTGATAAATATCCATGTTTTTCTGACAGACAATATTTTCATTAGGCCAGGAAAACATGGGGTTTACTTCTAGTGAGTTTAAAATCTGACCTATTCACGGTATTGTTTGTGTCGAAAAGTCGGAACTATACTATACTGTATAATTTCCAAACTTTTCAGTGGAAAACTATGTCAAGTTACAACCCAGAAGCAACTGAATGAAATCTACTCAAGACAATCTTGTATTTGCTTTAAATTTGGGCTTAATTAGTATTAATACAAAAACATCACTGTCGCAGGTCTTTCAGATTGCACTACTTTTGCTTTAAATAAGCGATGTCGCTATAATTTGCTATAAGAAAACGTGAAATTGACAAAAAAGGTCAGATATAAATTTCCTGTTTTCGGAAGAACTAACAATGGTAATAGCAAAGGTCGAATATTCCTATAAGTAACTGGAAATTCAAAAAAATATATTTTCATGTTTACCACCCCTGTTCGTGAAAACGAGGGAGTAGAATCAAAGAGAGAAAGTGGATATACCTATATTCTCTTACTTTTGTAGAGCTGTATTCCTGATAGTTGTTAGAATAGTCGCTCTCCAGGGTATTTTCGGGAGAGAAAGTACAAAAGTCTCGCCGCCGTCGATCGGACTCATCTTCAAAGACGAAGTTAACTTTGTGGTGAAACGTTTAATTATATGAAAAACCATGAAACATTATTTTGCCGAAAATCGATGCATTTGCAAACTTGTTTAATAAATGTTAACGGCAGTCAGAATTTGGGATCGTGAACCAGGGAACAGAACCACGCCCTTTCTTCGAGTGATTCTACTCCCTAGTTTTCAGGAAAAGGGGTTCATGAATCATATAATCGTACATATCGATATAACCATTGTAAAGGGTGTCTCAGAAATATTTTCGTTTTTAGATCAGTCCTCTGGCGGAATACGCATGCTCCGGAGAAACGAGACAGTTGACAAACGTTTGGCAACATTGTTAAATTTTAGTTGCAATGGAGCGTTTTACAGGGCCGCAACGTGCTTTTTGTGTTCGCGAGTTCTATAAAAACAAGGATTCTTATGTGCTTGTACGTCGTTTGTACAGAAATCATTATAACATAGCAAGAATGAGAGATGTCCCAAGCGCAAATTTAATTAAAAATTGGGTAAGAAAGTTCGAGAGCACTGGAAACACGTGTATTAGTAAACCGCCTGGACGGCCAAGGTCAGCAAGATCGACCGAAAATATTGAACGTGTGCGCCAGTCCGTTAACGAGGATCCCCGGCAATCATTAAGACTGCGTGGAGCGTCTCTAACTTTGCATAAGTCAACTGTTCATCGCATTATTCGCAAGGATTTGCATTTTCACCCATACAAGATTGTTGTTACACAACAATTAAAACCACAAGATCCCGCTAATCGATTAGAGTTCTGTAGAACAATGAGAGAGCATTTTAACGGTTACAACAACATATGGTTTTCTGATGAATCGAATTTTCACATTAACGGGCATGTTAATAAACAAAACTGCCGATATTGGGCCGAGCAGAACCCGCAAAGTCTTCATGAGACGCCATTACACTCGCCTAAAGTTATCGTCTGGGCTGCTATGTCAGGGCAAGGAATCATTGGCCCGTATTTTTTTGAAGACAATCGTGGCCAAGCTCAAACTGTAACATCTGAGCGCTACTGCCACATGATTAGGACTTTTTTAACTCCAGCTATACAGAACCATGGTGGCTACAATAGAAACACGTTTTTCCAGCAAGATGGAGCGACTTCTCATGTCACGAATGAATCCTTGGATGCTCTTCATCAGTTATTCCCAGAGAGGGTCATCAGTCGCAGAGGAGACATTAACTGGCCACCGAGAAGTCCCGATTTGACACCAGCAGATTTTTTCTTATGGGGATACCTGAAGAGTAAGGTATACACCCCACCGCCACAAGATTTGAGAGAGTTGAAGCAAAAAATAACAGATGAAATAAACGCCATTCCTCGAGCAATGCTTCGGAGAGTGATCGAAAACTTCAGTTCGAGATTAAGAGAGTGTGAAAACATGAACGGTGCTCATTTATCCGATACTCTTTTCCATAAATAAAATTAATGTTTAGGCTTTCGTTTGGTAATAAATTTATCTTTGTAAAAATATTCTAAGTATTTTTATTTATGGCATAAAATAAGAAAATATTTATGAGACACCCTTTATAATGGAATATGTTTTATGAATGATAAAACGCTTAAAAGTTATCCTTTGGCTGTCTCGCTGATTTTTCTGCATGTTCAACTGGTCGCCAAATGAAACTACCAAGATGGCCGAAACTTCAGTAATTTATTTCAATCTATACCTGTAGTTTGATTTGGCGATTAGTAAGACGCCACGCACAATGAACTGGCCGGTATACATTTACCTGCAAAAACTGTGGCTGCACTCCGTTAGTACTAGAATCAGTTTGAAAGGTAGGAGCAATATTTTCCGCATTAGAGGCATCTAGAATAGAATTTTACAATTAATATTCAAAGTAGCGGACAAGGACCCGGTTTTACAAATTCTTTAGTTGCTCATAAATTCGTTTTTCAGTTTATGGTTAACCAAACCGCGAGTGTATATCTGGCAACGTGGCTTCTACCTCTGAACTACCATTTTATGTGCGTTTTATGGCGTTAACCATTTGAGTCTCGTGTCATCCGTAACAACTCTGCAGTGGCGAAGCGTCCATGTAACCATTGTTACCATTGGTAACAGTTAAAAATCTTAAAAATGAATAATTTATGACTACTGTGAAACAATTTCATTCATTTGTTTACCCAGCAATATGTACTAGTAATTCAGTAAATAGCAGATTAGCCCCACGAAAATAATGCGCCCTATTATAATGTCTAGATTTTGCGAACGCAATGAAGCCGACTCGCCTCGACTTGGTTGTTACCATTTTTGATTATGGATACACTTGATAGTCCGTCGGGGACCGTCAGCCCCGGCTCGTGTCTTATCGCGGTCGCCGAAGTGCTTGGACCGCTGCGATTATTATGTAGGCTTGTTACCATTTTTTGATTTGGTTACACATTTCTCCCTCGTTAGTAATCGTTTTGGTTGCCGGCTGTGTAATGTACGTGCAATTAAACATGGATGAAGAGGAGATCATTGAAAATGGAATACCAACTTATTTTAGATAATTTTAAAAAGGAATAAAAAAGTAGTTCGATATTTTAAATTTAGTTGGCATATCGAAAACTCTTGGTTATGTGGTTGCAAGAAAAACAGATTGTATTCTTGGCCATGTCTTCTGTTTTCTACAAAAAAAAAAATGGGTGGACCAGCAACGATTTAAATAGTTTTAGGGTTCTGAAGAGGAGACATGAAATTTCTCCTTTACATGTGAGATGTGTAGCCATTTTAACTCAGTTTGGCAAAACAAGAATCGAAAGTTGTCTTAACCAAGATTTTAGGCAGCACACTTATAGATGCTGTATGTTTTTTGGCCAAACAAGAATTACCATTTCGGGGTCATTTTGAAGGGGATGACTCTAACAATAGAGAAAATTACTCGGAATTGTTAACATTAATTGCCAAAAAAAGATAAAAGAAATCCGAACATCTAGAAACGTCTACTGTTTTTCGGAAGGCTTGGATTAGTCATAGCATAAGTCGATGAAGTATATAGTATCAAGTGCCGCAGACGCCCAGTCCAGCAATGTTTACCTTAATTTAAAAAAAGTTTAAATACAATACTTAAAATAAGCAAAAACTTTTACATGGTACGGTCAAAATAAACCTTTTTTAATAAGATTTTACTCATCTGGTTTTGGTAACAGTTTAGGAAAAGTCACGCGTCGCCACTGCAACTATGTCACTATCAAGTAAAAAATTTAACTACAACTTTATAGTCAATCCATATATGATCCACTATGGTTAAAGTTAACTATCGATTTCGAATAAACCTGACATTTAAATACGTGTTTTGAGAGTTAACTCTTGGGTAGCAGTGAAATCACCGTTAACCTGCAATAATTGAAAAACCGGGCAATTCCTGCAAAATTCGACGTTTGCTGTATGCATCACGTAAATTATTTATTAGTAGTATTTAATTGTTAATCAGTGGCGGATCCAGGGAGGGTATCCTAGATGTCCGGAACTCCCCCCCCCCCCCCTGAAATATTGGAGTTTAAAACTAAAAAAAAATTGGCGTGTTCTTCAATTTGCAAGACGAAGCCCCTACCCGGTCTTAAATCTTAAATCGCTGATCCCCCGGCTCTTCATTTCAATTGCCGATACCTCGCCTCTAGTTGGACAGCTTCCTGAACATGAGTCCTGAGCTCCCAGCACTTTTCTGAGCGAATAATTTCAAATTCATCATATGGTCTCCCAAAATCACTTCTTAGATCCGCCACTGTCAACTCAAATGTACAGCAAAAAAATTCTCTTAGTGCTAATACTTATTTATTGACGTATTCTTATTTTTTCAGTTTGATTTTCATTGTAATTTTGTACGGTAAATGTTGCTAAACTTTTTCGCACATTCTACTGTAGATATTTTAAAACCCAGCCGATAATTATACCTACCTAAATATACTAAGTGACATATAAATTCGAACACCCAGTTTAAATGGTTTTATTTTAATAAAAGTTGGTGAATGTATTTATCTTACCGTAAATAACAAGTGAACAAATTTTCAGCCTTATCAGTTGGACATTCCGGTTTTTATACTGCTTTTTTTTAATTCACTAACGCTCTAAAAAAGAATATTTCAGCCGCAGTAAACAATCAACGTTGGCGGATTTTGGTTCCTGACATCCTTTACGATCGGTTACGATGCCTAGAGTACGGAGACCTGTACGATTTCGTCAACTTGGTGAGTTTGATAGGGGCCGTATAGTGGGACTTCGGGAAGCTGGACTTTCTTTTCGGGCAATTGCAGTTAGAGTGCAAAGAAGTGTAGACACTGTGGTTAGGTGTTGTCAGGCATGGCTTCGAGAAGGCCGTACGCAAAGAGCAAGGAGCACTGGACGCCGCCGTAGAACAACAGACCGTGAAGATCGCCGCCTAAGATTATTGGCCTTAAGGGACCGTTTCTCCACTACCAGGTCCATTGCAAATGAATGTTTTGCAGAACACGGAAGACCTATTGGCATGCGAAGTGTTTACCGACGAATGAGAAGTTCTGGCTTGTTTTCATACCGGCTACACTGGGTCCTCCCTTTAACTCGAGAACACCGACGTAATCACCTTGAGTGGTGCAGACAACGGTGACTCTGGGATCAGGAATGGAACAGTATTGTCTTTAGTGACGAGTCTCGATTTTGTTTAGGCATCCTCGATGGTCGTGCCAGGGTTAGAAGGCGACGTGGTGAAAGGAGGAATCCACAGTTTTTTGTTGAAAGACTTGTTCATCACACTGTTGGAGTTAGGGTTTGGGGTGCTATAGCTTATGGTTCCAGGTCACCTTTAATCTTCATCAGAGGTAACATGAACGCGCAGCGTTATATCCACGAAGTTCTAGAACCCCATCTTTTACCCTATCTTGACACCCTGGCAGATCCAACTTTCCAACAAGAAAATGCCCGACCACATGTTGCAAGAGTCACAATAGACTTCTTTCAACATAATGATGTCACATTGTTACCATGGCCACCAAGATCTCCCGACTTATCCCCAATTGAGCACGTGTGGGATATGATGGGTAGGAGATTGCTTAATTTGCAACGTCCTCCTCAGACTCTAGAAGCACTTCGAGAGGAGTTGGTGGTTGCCTGGAATGAGATACCACAGGAGGACATTGACTACCTGATCAGAAGCATACCTAGGCGCGTTGGAGAATGCGTAGCACATCAGGGTGCATCCACACATTACTAAAGGTCAAAGAGCTTTAAAGCAGTGCAATCATTTTGAAATTTTTATCATTTACTTATTATGCTTCATTAAGTACTTACACAAAATTTTATTAAAATAAAACCATTTAAACTGGGTGTTCGGATTTATGTCACTTAGTATATATTCTTGCTCAACATTTTTATAGTTTTATAAGCGATTTCTTTCTACTTCTGGAAGAATTATATGTGAACGAAAAAAACTTATTTTTTCCTAATTCCATGTCTTTAACAAGTATGAAAACCACATAATAAAGTTAAGCTTCTTACTGTAGAACGCCCTGTATTTAGGCACATCGCTCAAGTTCGACCCTGTCTTTTGAAAATCAGCGATGCCGTGTCTTTGTTTATAAACATTAGCCAAAGTTAGCGCTATCCTAGTGCTTCCTAGGCGATAAGTATTTACAAAAACAAAACAGGTGAAACTATTGAAAAAAGTTGATAAAGTCAATGGAGCAGTAAGATTCAATATTGTGCGGAGCTTTTAACGATTTTTTTTGTGCGAACATTCTTAAGAATCTGGAAAAAGTACCTGGAACCGGTGGAAGTTCCTGAATTTTGTAATTCAAAAGCCAAGAGAGATTTCCATCAGTACAATCGGATTCTATGCCGCTGTCTGAACCTCGCGGACTTGGACTTGTAAAATTTCGAGGTTCAGCATCGATTGAAGGAAACCTGGGAAGATTTTGCAACTGATTGAAGTCCTCGGCATTCACATTACGCATTTCGGCAACTATATTTGGAATTTTATTCGTTGTATCCCAACAGCCATTTACAAGAACTACCTGTAAGTAAAATGCGCTTTTTTAATACTCGTTCTCAAGGAGGCTCAATGGTCTAGGGGTATGATTCTCGCTTTGGGTGCGAGAGGTCCCGGGTTCAAATCCCGGTTGAGCCCGCTTTTTTTTCCTCGTATAAACTTAAAATTTTTTATCGTAATGATGGCATACCTCTAAATCTTCCTCAGTTTTGACACGTGGATTTTGAATCGCAATCTGGGGAAACGCATTGACGACATTGCACCTAAGTTTTCGTTTTTTAGCTGGAAGTTGACCCGGCGGCTGCAAGAATGTCTGCGAAACGATCCTTCCGCTGTCCATTGGGTCATAATATTTGATTTTGATGGGAGTTAAGTTCTGGTCGGTGTGACGGATAATGAAATTATTGTAATCCATTCTTCAAACTGTTCAGATCGAATACTTAACCAAATTATTTTGTATATGCACGATTTGTTAGGTGAAAATGTATCTGTACGAACTAAACTCGCAGGAAATAAATTATAAGGAATTGGCTAATTAAATTTCTACTTAATTATTGACAGAAGCCAACTGTGATCATGAGTTTTATTCAAGTATGCACTAGTCTTTATAGAGCAATTTGAGAATCCGGGCACTGATTCTAAACTCTTCCTAAAAAGTGATATTAAAGAAACATTTTTGTTGCTATACTTACCTTGTGTAATTTAACCGTTAAGAAAACCAAAATATATAGATTTCTAAACAAAAATTTCCAAAGTGTTAGAGTAGCGCGATCTTATACACTGATTAAGCACAATGTTACACTTGTTTTCACAGTGGGTGTTTAAAGGGTGCGCGATTAAAAACAACTATTTGTGGCGCGGTTATCACCAACCCCCGCCGTGAAAATACAACTTCGCGCAGCCGTAAAAGGGACAATCCCTTATTTAAAAAATCTGAAATTACACACTATCTTTTTGCGTGTATTCGGCTAAAAATAAATATATTTTGTGAAATTGTCGTAAAAGACATTTGCGAATAAATTTCTTTTTGTGAAAAATACTTCCAGGATATTTGTCTGAACTTTCCATGACTTCCCCTAATGTAGAGCTGCCATCTATTATATTGAGATTAAAGCTTCTAAGCAGGTGATTGGATAGAAGGCCACCAGTGAGGGAGACGCTGATGGATTTCAATGTTGCCACGCTCAGAGTAATTTCTTGAGCAATCTAAAATATGTATATGTATAAGGTGTCGCAAATACAAAAATCGCGCAAACCAAATGCTGGGTTTTCTGGCATATCAAGAATTAAAAAATAGGTATCCATCACTGTTTCCACTAAATGGCCAAGCTCACTATTGATATAATGCAGTGACAGCTTATAGAAAGCTGTATTTAGTCGTGGTGGTTATTTATTTTCAATTCTATTTTGTGATAAGTAATTTTTGAGCTTCAGTCACATTGCTTTTTAAATTTGAGACTCATCAATTGGCAGAAATGCATGTATGTGCTAATGCTGAAGTCGAATTATCCAATACAGACATTAAACGAAAACAATATCCAGCCGTGTTCAGTGCATGATCAGCACATGTATATGTATATTTCAAGAAACGGGCAGCATTATTATTATTGGGCAGAATCAGTCGAGCCAAAGCCAAAAGAGGAAGGTCGAGTGGGAGACGACACAGGGGTGAATGCAGCCTTGCCGTCCTTTAGCGTTATCTCGGCGTTCTGGTGTCTAGTCACGTTAAGTATGCGTGACTATGTTTGGGCTTAGTTTCTTTCTTCGCTAGATGGAATATAATCGACTGCAGCAAATAGTATGAGTATGCATTAAGTCTTTGGTCCACTCTGTGAAATATTTGATCGATCTGACAACACTGTCAGAGAACCTCCGATGATCTGTCAGAAACGTCAGTTTTAACGGGTGGTACAAAAACAAACGCGATGGCTGCTGCTGGTAGTGAAGGTTCGCCAACAACCCCTCAAAATTCAACGAACAGCTCTTTTAACGCCGAAGACAATGGCTCAAGGTCGCCGTCGATATCTTCTGCGAAGGAATTCATGTGGACGTCGCTTTTGGTGTCCAAACCAACCAAGAAATATGGCAAAAAATTCAAAGGTAGGTGTATGGCAGATGGTACCAATAGTGATTGCAAATTTTGATAATGTGGCCCCGCAATTAGCATTATCTGTTAGTTACTTGGTGTTACTTTGATAAATTATTGTTTAATTTATCGTTATCTGAAATTGCATATTTTTATGATGCATTATATGAAAGATTTGTCCAAAATGATGTATGAGATACATATTCTTTTCTTGGGATTAACAATCCGCAGAATCACAGAATTTTATTTGAAATTACTATCCAGGGAGGGTGTAAAAAACGTTTTTCTGTTATAATATTAGTTGAGGTTAGTGTTAAGACAGATCTAATAGAAAGAATACAGGAAGTTGTAAACATCTCTCATTAGTAAAACAATGCATTAATATTGTTACATTTTTGACACTTAATGACCAACTACTAGTTTGTATTACACAGTAACCTGTTGGTGACTGCCCACTTGAATTCTGTTCAGCTATGCTGTCACTGACAAGCCACCTGCCACTGTACAAACAAACAATAGAGGTGAGTGAAAAAGGCTGAGAAGTATCTTATCACCTGCATTGTAGTAGTAGTAGTTGGGAGGTGAAGACTGCATAGTAGGCTACCTTTGACCCTATACCAACACTACTCTACATGCTTATCGTTTTATCTATTGAACCTTTCCGATCTCCTAATGAAGGTCAGGTTGTCCAACCACTCTGCTAAATATGCAACTTCACTATCAGACTCCATGGCTCCAAATACCTCAGCTCTTAGATTGTAATATGCAGGCAAAAGCCTAGGTAGTGGACGCTGTTTTGTCATCTTCTCAGCACGTGGGACAAATAGAATCTCCTTTTATACTTAGTAGGGATAAGTGCATGTTTGCTCCACAATGGCTGGTACAAATCCTCACCAAAAGATGATTCAATACTTGTGACCAGTAGCCAGCATGTCCCATGTGTGACAGGGCCAGCTGCAAACATCTTGGCCTGCCTGCAGTCTTTCCTCCCTCTCTTGTCACACTATTCACAGGTCTCTATATGCTCAGCCATTCAGTGAGGTGTGCCTAGCCTGATAATCAGCTCACTGTGGCCAGGGACCCAAAGCAGGGTCTCTTCGTAAGATCTGACTAAGCTCTGAAGAGCAGTGGTGCATTCGTGGACTGGAGGTTATATCTTATCCTTGGTGATGCCACTGCCTTCAGGGCTGCTTGACTGTCAGAACATATAAATATGTTCTTCTAGTACATTGCTGTAGCTCCTCTTAATATGCCCCCATTAAGTTGGCAAATGTTTCTGCCTAGACTGTTGTGTTGGTTCCAAGTGCCAAGCTTCCCTGCACACCCTTGCCTTCCACGTTTATTCCCGCCCTACCTGCAATTCAACTAAATAATTAGGTTTATGTGATATTAATTAGCTATAGCAGTTTCAATTGCATGTAAGTGGAACATTGCATTGTAAATAGAAGGATTCATAATAAAATTGATTATGAAGGTAAACACCTGCCATATTTCAAATAAGCAATTGATGACTAATGTGTGAATAATTCTCTTTTATTGTAGTTTGCTTACAAAAATTAATGTTATGCAAATTGATTTAAAACAGGTGGAAACAAAAAGTCATCCAGCATTAACATTTTAAAAAAATACATAAATATTTCCAGGTTGTCTATAAATTTATCACCTGTCCATGTTGTTTGGAGACCTAATCAAAATCAAATGCTTAAATGAAGTTTTTATTCTGTTTTATGAGAAGCCCACTACCACTGGACCTATTATATCTATATCTATTATATAACATGATCAATTTAATATTAACCTGGCCGCAAAGGGTTAAGGCAGAACTAATAAAGAGTGACTTACACCTTAGGTATCATGTGTTAATTGCAACACATATGTCACATATTATTGGTTTGGTGCTCAAGTTTTAAGTTTGTATGACGCCAGCATTATGTCGTAAATAAATCAGAAGAAACTAATGAAATTAATCGTTCAACATTTCAGTTTTACTTCCCACCCGAATTGACGAGGAAGTATTGTAATAGCTAAAAACTCCATGACATGTGCATCACGAAAAACCATTTTCTATTCTATTCATTATTTTAAACTGATCGAAAAATTAATTTATTAATGTGTATGTGTGGCAAAAATCGTAAAAACGAAAAACCATGTCACCCATTTCCGTCCATTTGTCTATCTGTCCGCTAATCTGTGACCCCTATGACTTGGAAATCCCCTCTGGGATTTTGATGAATTTTTGACACAAGGTTATTGCTAGGCGTAGCACATTTTATTCTTGAAATGTTGAAATATTGCGAAATACTTTATGTATTCGTGCATTGGCAGTAACATTCGACCCATTCGATGGGTTCGAAATACATTATCGAAAGATCGGAATGTCTCGAAAATATCTCGAAGTACTTTGAAGTATACCAAATAATCGAAAAAAAATCTAAATATGTGTACTTTTAGCTAGCCCACCATCCGTTGCTAAAAGTCTTTATATAATATTTCAGATTACTAATTTTCTACTCTGGCAAGGTAATGTCAGCTCCACAGGGTGTTGACAGTTCGAACCATTATTTTTTAAATGCAACGTTTACTTCGGTTCCACTTTCCCTTATCTGTATTGATTATTGATATCCAGACGGAAAATCCCTGTTATTTGCCGATTCGCTCCCGATTTCCCTCATTCGCGCACAAATCAATAAGGTGCCGTGCGGCGTTGCCACATTCGACATTAATTCCATGTATTCGAGGACTTAAATTCTTGTATCAATTTTGACTTTAATCGAAAATATGAATAGTTTCATATTTTTTCGGATATTCATGAAAAGTACTTTATACAATTCTTGTCAGTTTTTGACATCCTCTATGCTTATCTACCAATGGTCATTTCTTTGATAGTGATGTCCAACATTTAGTATGATGAAGAAACAATATTATATAATATCTTAATGTAACTCCTAAAACTTATCGTGTGGCTTTCATGTCCATAGGATTCCGTTATCTGGCCGAATCAAAACTACATATTTGTTTATCATTCGAAGTTCCGACGCACCACTGTGTTTTTTTTTCAAGTACAATTCACAATTCTGGGACAACATATGTTGTTTTTTGTCTTCCAGGTGATATTTCATTTCTTTTTTCACATCCCTATCATTGCAATTTTAAGATGGCGCTGCGTAAAACCAGCAAAGCCCAGGTGGTCCCAACATGGCACATAAACAGAAATCTAAACATATATGTGGTTTTGATTCGGACAGACAATGGAGTCCTATAATACTATGTATCTTGCCCTGCCGAGTTGTGTATTTTCCATAACGACCAGTCAGTAATACCCATATAATAATAATAATAATAATATTTATTCGCCAAAATACAAAAAATGGGCAAATAAATATGAAAAAACCACAAAAGGCATCGCCTGTGTGTGGTTTATATCTTAATAACTAACAATCAATCATATATGTGTATAACAATTATTGTTAAATCTAAAAGGTATTAATGTAATTGGAATTTTGTACTTTTAGTTTTCTATATAATTATGTATAGTCATTCGCTGCACATTACTAACCCAGTCTTTCAATTTTCTTCTAAATTTTTTTCCAAAATTAAGTATCTTTATTTCGTTTGGTACTACATTATATAATTTAGCCGCTAAGAATTTAAATGATTTTTTGAATAATGTTTTGTGTGGTCTTTGGATATTAGATGCGCCTATTCGAAATCGTGTGTTATGCTCGTGTTTATAGGATTTTTTCTTTTTATTACAATACTTATGGTATAAGGTGGTTGCTAGTAAGAAATAAAGTTGTCTTGTATCAAGTATCCCTGTTTCTTGATATAAGTTGTTCGTTGGATATAATCTTGGCTTATGGAAAATGGCTTTCAAAACAGTTTTTTGTGCTATATTCAGGTCAGAAATATATGTCTTGCAGGCGGCACCCCAGGCTGTGATGCCGTATATTATATGGGTTTCAACTAAGGCATGGTATAGGATTCGCAGATAACTTTCTGTAAGAATGTTAGCAAGCATTTTGAGTTTATAGGCAACATTTCTAATTTTTTTGATAACATATTTAATATGGTTATCCCACCTTAGATGTGAGTCTATAAATATTCCAAGATATTTCAAAGTGTTAATATTGATAAACCTGATACAGGCGCCCTTTACATAGAATCGTTGGCAGGAAGATGATATTAAAGTACGCAAAAAAATGAGGCCTCTATTTTCAAATTCATTTTTGTAGTATGTTACAGACTCATAGATTGTGCTATTATCTTTCAGATGGGCGCTGAAATACAGTAAATGGTTAGCTATCTTCTGGTAGAATGCGTTCATCAACTTAACAACTTTTTTCTCGTCATGGTTGTTTTTTTTAGTATTTGTTTTTGTTATTGTAAATATCCACCCGTTCTTATATCAACATTGCCCAGCCCTCATGGCTATTATGAACAGCATCATATCATATGACACTTTAGTTGTGGACAGTTTTGCGTAACACATTTGTTCTTCCATATACCCGACTTGATGCATTTGTTCATGTTGTATAGTATGCTGTTGTATTAGGGTGACGATATATACCAATATGGACCTTCCAATCAATCTGTTTGGTCTAATATTAGTGTTTGGTTTCTTTTGGAGCAAAATGTGTCGGCAACTCAATGACTTCATGGATTATCGACTTGACAACACTGTCCTTCTACAGTCTATTATTTCGACGTCTGGTAGTCTGGCATCCATGTAAGTGTAGTCCTGCGAAAATTCGCGAAAATCAACAGTGCAGTGTGCAGCAGGAATAAATTACAATCGGCAAAATGAAAGTGCAAGAAGTGACTGCAGAAGGCAGCAATGCTGTTGTCGAACAAGAAATGGCCGGTGCCCAAGACACAATCTATCTATGTAACTTCAGGTATCTGAGCACAGTTTTCGGAACTGCTTTGTTTTGGTAGATGGAAGAAAAACAAGTGGCGGTGGGGTTAATAGCACGTCGAACAAGAACCTTTTGCCAACCCTTCGGTTGTTTTGTGATGCTTACATCACAACAATTCATTTCCATCAGTCGGTTTTCATGCATTTTCTGGCACTGTAACATATATTTGAAAATCCTTGTAGTTGCGATAAAGATATAATTTTGTATCATCGAAAAATATTTCCCTCGTTTCAGGTAGATACATATCATTGATGCATTGTTTTTATAATTTTGTATGACACTGACATAGTGAATCTACCGAAAATAAAAAATAGCTTCAAAATCAAGCGAACATTTGATAATTTTATTATGGCATTAGGCGTAGCTAATTGAAATTCCAGTTTTGACTATCCCATTATACAGGGTGTCCCCAAAAAAGTGTGCAATATTCTACCAGCGGTTTGTAGAACTTAAAATAGGAAGAAAAGTTTATATAAACATAGGTCGACAAACGTCCCCTAAGGGCGCTACGGCCTTTTAAAGGGGCTCCCCTGAAGATGGTTTTTCCTTAATATTTCCGAAACGTGTTGAGATAAAGACAAAATTTGGTATTCTAGCCTAGTTTTTTATGCTGGATTTAAAAATATTAACAATTTTAGACAGTTTTGTTTGGAAGCGTATGTAACCCAAAGTTTTTGTGTGATTCTATTTTTGAAATTCAATTTTAGAATTTGAAAATTTAGGGTTTTCTACATAAAAAAGGGACTCTTACTGAATATCGATAAATTGTGCCATTTTTTAATAAAATCAAACTAAAAAATTTGTCACATGATAGGAAATGTACTGCGAATTTAAATGAATTGTTGAATAATTAGCCATGGCAACGAAAAAACTAATTTAATAATTTCTATTGCAACATAACTAACATTTAGGCAAAACAAAAGAAATAAATTTTTTCTACGAACGAAATTGAAAGATGTTTAAAAAAGAAGACATACAGTTGGATATACTTAAAACTAGCTTTACAATAAGTGTTCAAATAAATTCCCATTTTATTGGATACAGAGTCTCGCTCGACGAACTAATGATTGCGTAGCCCGAAAAGTGGAAAACCTTTTTCTTCTTATTTCATTTGCAGCCTGATGGATTCTTCAAGAAGATTTACTTCAGTCGAGTAAACTAGGTCTTTTAATGACCCCCAAAAATAGAAATCCACCGCCTAACCACCTGTCTGGAAAATTGACATTCATCCAATTTCGAACATTGCGTCCAAAATGTGCAGGGGCGTCATCATGTTGAAAAAACATATTTTCTTGATGCTGGCGCACATCCAATGGTATTATATCCATGAACTCATTCTGAGGAAAGTTCAGATACACCTCTGAATTAAGACGATTGGGACGTACAATAGGCTCAATTACTTGATCCCCAATTACTCCTGCCCATAAGTTCAATGAAAATCTATGTTGGAAATTTGTACGGCGAACATCTTTTGGATTTTCATCTGACCAGTGATGCATGTTATGGAAATTAAAAGCACCATTCCTAGTAAATATTGACTCATCCGACCATAATATTCTAGGAATAGTGTTTTCATTTGATAATATCCACTGGCAAAACTCGATTCGTGGTAAAAAATTTGCCTCCGTTACATGTTGCACCCGTTTAAAATGATAAGGATGTAATCCTTGCATTCTTGTCATTCTTCCTATCTAAAATTATTATTTTTAGGATAACTATCAAATAGGTATTCATAAATTTTTCTTACTATTGATCGAGGTATATCCATAATTTCTGAAACATTTCGTACGCTTATTTGCGGATTATTTTCAAACATATTTAAAGCAATATCCATACGATGATTTCCCAGTGGCCTTCCTGAGCCCTGCATGCGCTGAAAACTTCCATGGGTTGACAAATTCCGGTGAATATCAGTAAACATTCGACGTCCAGGTAGTATGCGATTGGGAAATCTTCTTTGATATTCTGTTACGGCGGCCAATGAACTGCCATTGCAAAACCCGTACACAAAATGCATGTCAGTCAGTTCTATGTCTGTAAATCTTGGCATTTTAAATCGATTTAATAAAAATTTTGATTTGAATCTAGTAATTTTACACTGCTAACAATGTCAGCTTAACGTCAAAGTAAGTCATAACAAATCAAAACAACTTTTGTTTGCAGTCATGGCTAACTATGTATAATCAACAATTCATTTAAATTCGCAGTACATTTCCTATCATGTGACAAATTTTTTAGTTTGATTTCATTCAAAAATTGCACAATTTATGGATATTCAATAAGAGTACCTTTTTTATGTAGAAAACCCTAAATTTTCAAATTCTAAAATTGAATTCCAAAAATAGAATTACACAAAAATTTTGGGTCTAAAATAACCTGAGTCCGTCCCTGTTACATACGCTTCCAAACAAAACTGTCTAAAACAGTTAATATTTTTAAGTCCAGCATAAAAAACTAGGCTAGAATCCCAAAAACGTCCGTCCTCTCTGCCGCACCCTGTATAAATTATTTTTTGCAAAGCTTGCAGACCTTCAAAATATATGCTTCCAATAATTCTTTGATTACGAGTATCAGAAAAATATAAATATTTGCTCGAGTTTTCATCATTTTTGTTTATTTACGGTGGATCTACTCTCTCGTTATCATACACAATTTTGAAACAGAGATATGCGTATACTTGAAATCTGTGAAAATGCCCTTTTTTGCTTTAACTTGGAAGCATTACTGTTTAAGATATATCATAAAACGTAAGATAAAGTACCAGAAAGAGTCACGATTTTTCGAAATTCTATTTTTTAATCAATTTTCGGCTTTCATTAGTCAATCGCATATCAATTTTCTGGTTATAATTTTTAGTAAAATAAATCATGAAAATGTATCTTGTTTCCAAAGTAAAGACTTGGCTGGCTTCTGTTTTAAAATGCCCAGGAATTTTTCGAATAGGATATGGCAATGGCCATCCTGGACATGTTGCTGACGTACAGTATAATTTTTTAGGGTGTCTGTGGACGGAGAGTGGCTATGCCTCAAAGAACTTCAAGATGTTGAGTTCAGTATGCAAGAATCCATGACCAAACCACTTTCTACCCCTTCACCTGATGTTCCTGTACATCCTTTTGGTATGACATTGCAAAAAACTAGGCTTTCTAGTGATTCAAATTTTCGTGATGATGGGGCTGATGCATCTGCCACCTTTTTTATAAACGCACTTGATTGACAAATCTTGAAAACCATCTATCCTATGTAAAAAAGTACATAATAAAAAAATATAAAAATTTGTCAGTCTACCCATTGGCGATTTTGTCACTGTGTAATTTCAGTAACCGTTGCAGCGATTTTAATGGAAGAGATGTAGTAGATAATGCTGGTTTTTGGCATCACTCTTTTTTTTATGAAAATCGTTGCAACGGTCGCTGGAGCTGCGCAGTGACAAAATGGTCTATATTCAAACTGATGGAAGTGGCGATTTGAATTTTTATTTCGGTTACCGTTAGAACGTGATCATACATTTCGTTTCAAAGTGTCATTATCAGAGAATAGTGGTTGTTTTTCACACTTCTGATACAAGCCTAACATCCACGGGAGAAGTAGAGTCGTATTCTAAGGGTAGGGCCTAGCAATACATTATGTCATGTTAGAACTCTTAACAGTTTTGGCGCAAAATTTTACGTTTGAGCCTTCGAAACAGTCATTTGGAAAATATCTCCTTATGAGTCAGTTATATTATCGTTTTCGGCTATTTATGCTTCATTTATTATCAATAGTTAATATGCCAAGCGACTAACAGTAAATTGCTATGATATAGTTTACTTATTATATTTCTTGAAATTTTATAGGACGCGACCCCGTAGTTATAGAACGAAGCAACTTAGTAAATATAAGCAAATTAGTAGTCAAGGAACTGATTGAACAGTCTCTACGATATGGCAGAATGCTCGATTCAGATCATATGCCTCTACAACACTTTTTTATTGTTTTGGAACATGTGCTTCGGCATGGATTGAGGCCAAAGAAGGTAATTTTAGAGTAAATAACCTTCTTTATTAATAGTTGTTTGCTTATATATGCACTTCAATACAGGGTTTACTAGGACCCAAAAAAGAATTGTGGGATATACTACAAATGGTGGAAAAATATGCGCCAGAGGCACAAGATATCACTGCAAGTGTTAGAGATCTTCCAACTGTTAGGTAAGGACCCTTCAAATATTACTACTAATGAATAATCGAGTATATATAATAATAGTTTGATAATAAAGGGTGTCCCATCAGTTTTTTTTAAGTTGGTATTATTTTGACAGTTGGTAACACTTCCATGCTCAACATATTGAACCTCCGCTGTGAGAAATGGATCGTTTTAATCTAGATCAAAGGTGGGAAATATTGAAAAACTATTTTCAAAGTGAGTGCTGTGTTGCAGAAGCTTTGCGAAAATTGAGAATACTATTTGGTCAGAATGAAGCTAAGTCCGCGACTGGTATACGCAAATTCGTGAAGAAGGTTCGTGAAACTGGCCTGCTTGTGGATAACAAAAGGTATGACCGTGTTCGACCCGTACGTACAGCCGAAAACATTCACACACACATTCACAGAGCACAACAAGTGGGCATCAGTCGCACTTCTGTGCGGAGAATATTGCATAACGATCTGGGATTATTTCCTTATAAGGTGCAACTTGTGCAAGAGTTGAAACAAAATGTCCATCCGCTTCGATATCGTTTCTCTGTGTGGACTCTAAATCAATTGGAAACGGACGTCAATTTTGGTCGCCAAATCATCTTTTCGGACGAAAAACCAATGCATCCAAAAAGAGTAACTGTTTGGAGTGGTGGGATTATTGGTCCCCACTTTTTTCAAGATGAAGATGGTAACAGCGTGACGGTAAACGGGGAACGCTATAGAGTCATGTTGAGGAGTTTTTTGTGGCCACTATTAGACGACATGCACTTGCACAATCTCTGGTTCCAGCAGGATGGCGCATCATTCCACACCAGCCGTGAAACAATCGATCTTTTACACACTAATATCGGTCATCGCGTTATCAGCCGTTTTGAAGACGATCATTGGCCAGCCCGCAGGTGTGATTTGACGCCCATGGATTACTTCCTATGGGGAGTTAAAATTGGGTCAAGAGGATGGACTAGTGCTAGGCCAGCTGCGGCAGCCATTTAATTGAAATTGTTTTTCATAAATAATCGGAAGGTGTATTCTTTTGAATAAAGTATCTAGTGTTACATATTATTGAAGAGTGTAGTTTTAATACCAATTTATAAAAGAAACCAACGGATGGCCCACCCTTTATGTTGTACTTCGCTTCAATGCTATTTTCTTACAATTTATAGGACGCACATGGGACGTGCTAGAGCCTGGTTAAGGCTAGCATTGATGCAGAAAAAATTGGCAGATTATCTAAAAGTTCTGATAGATCACAAAGATGAAGCTTTAGTAGAATACTTTGAACCAGATGCACTTATGTTAAGTGATGAGGCTATTGTAATAATTGGGCTGTTAGTGGGATTGAACGTTATCGATTGTAATCTCTGTGTAAAGGTGAGATATACTTTGTTATTCAGGGCAAGTTACGCCTATCAAAACTACGATTTTATGAAGTATGTATGTTGTATGCTCTTAGTGACTACAGTTATAATAAAAAGTACCAGACCATTAAGGCATTACAACTTCTCGTTAATATGTTGCTTGCATGTTCTATGCTGATGGTTAGTGAGTATATCAATTGTATAAGTAGGTGTCAAAACCACATCTCTATGTTCAATACCCAGTTAGCCTCTGTAATAGTCACATATTTGTAAACCCTGTAATTTTGGAATTTTACTGCAGCTACAGTCGTTGAATAATTTTTCCAAAAGGTTATTCCTAAATCGTTTGATTTAAGATGTATATAGTGTCAGTATGCTTCTGATGTTAGTGTGACAAATAATATAAAAAAATTCCATTATCTTTGTTTACAAATTATTCCACCTAAAAGGCGAAACTCGATATATGTTATCTTGATAATGAATATCGTACATTACACAAATGTTAGACTTATACTGAGAACTTTGTGTATGACATGTGATCGTACATGCGGTATTTTTTAGGAAGAAGATCTGGATTGTCCACAAGGAGTAATTGACTTCTCTCTATATTTGAGATCGTCAAATACTATATCAAGTGATTCCAGTAATGAAGAACAAGGAGACCCAATGACAACTGTTTTGGATCAGAAAAATTATATTGAAGAACTTAACAGGCATTTAAAGTAGGTACCATATCCTCTTTTTGGTGAATGATAGGTATGTAAGCGTCGATACCAGTGGGAAAGTTCACATTTCAAATTTGAATTCCGCGGCAGCCGTATACGCGAGGAAGTGGCGCGACGCGATCGGCGTGCAGGTTAAATAGTCACAAGGAACCCTGGACCGGAACGCAACGTGCTTTTGCTATCAAGGCTTACTTTGGGAGCGGTGATTCATGCGCAGCTGCCCTTCAGAAATTTTGTACATCTTACAACATTCTCCGACCAAGAGATGCCCCAAGTAAGAATCTATTGAAAAAGTGGATTAATAGGCTCCGTGAAACTGGCTCTACTCTTAGTCAACCCATTCCTGGCCCCACACCTACTGTATCAATCGAAGAAAATGTACGTCGAGTAAAGTTGTTCGGTCATTGCAAATGTTCGGCGTTCTGTACGGAAGCATTCTGCTGCTTTGGGGATCCCAAGGTCAACACTGCATGGCATAATGAAGAAAAAAATAGGTTTTCATCCTTATAAAATCCAATCAGTCCATGCTTTAAAGGAAAGTGATTCCGTATTACGGAAATCATGTGCTGAACGGATGTTGATTTTTTTCCCTACGCAGCGCAGACTCGAGAACGTGGTTTTCAGTGACGAGACCCACTTTCACTTAGACGGTCATGTGAATAAGCAAAATTGCAGATATTGGGCACCAACGAACCCAAAAGAGAAACATCATCAACAGCAAAGGTGACTGTTTGGTGCGCCATATCCTCTAGCGGTATTATTAGGCCGTATTTCTTTGTAGAAAACGGTCAGGCATTGACAGTCAATTCCGAGCGATACAAAGACATGATTGACATTTTTTTGCTCCTATTGTAAGAACAGAACGTCGATTTTAACAGAAACAGGATGGAGCCACTGCTCATACTTCCAGAGAATTGATGGATACTGTGAAAGCACTTTTTCCTCAAAAAGTTATATCGAAGTTTGGAGACATTCACTGGCCTCCTAGGTCACCCGACCTCAATTCCAATAATCCACGAACACTGGAGGAGCTTAAAGACAACAATCGACGAGAAATAAACATCACTCCGGAACTCTGCAAGAGAGAATTTGCGCGCGCGATTAGAAGAGTGTGTCCGCAGGGATGGCAAACATTTGAACGGAATGATATTTATGCAATAAAACCCGCAAATTTACGAATATGTTGATAGTAGTAAATATTTTCTTCTCATTAAGTTTGTATTTTTTTTCTTAAGTCAAAAAGTGAGTACTTTCCCACTGGTATTGCAGGGTTTACACGTACCTATATGAATGATACAGATATCTGTGACTTTGGTTTCATTGCAAATTATATCAAATATTTTGTCATGGATGCTAGTACAAGGCCCAATTTCATCAACATTAATATTATGGACCAATGGGAAAATACCTTATCGAAATGCAATTTGACGGAAGCTGTCAAAGGTCTCTAAATATCAGTGATTTCTATTAAAATATTGAATAAAATCGTGAAAATTCGACTGTATTATAAACAAGACCACTTTTTGATTCCAACATGATGCTTTTGTACAGAGAAAACAGGACAACTTTCATGTATTTTGATTTCTGTTATAAATTTACATTTAACTATCAGTTATCCCCAAAGTCAATGGGAATGCGGCAAATAATAGGTCGATTTTCTAGCTGTTAAATTTGGCAGCAGATTTGGACGTTTGTTAATGCATGGCACTCTCGAATTTACCAACTTCAATATACTGAAAGTTATCATTACATAACCTGTTGAATAGTGTGGATTTGTCTGTATTTTGCAAGGAAATAGAATATAAAATACATTCCATCCAATTCCTCATCTTCCTTTACATCATAATAGTAATCATTTATTAATTTATGGGTTAATGAATTTCTTCAAAGCAATAAAAACATTATGTCCTCTCCATCCTAAAACACAGATAATATGTGTATGACGTGTCAATCCCTACACCTCCCTGATGCATAATGCAATTACTATGGACATAGACAAAAAAATATGAAAAATGTTTCACAAATAATGTCTTTTAAGTCCAAAAATCATAAAAACTAGTAATGTTTATTGTTTGATTGTCTTTTTGACTGGCGGGGATATCTATCTGCCACTCGCAGGGTTGCCAAGTCTAACGACGATCACGTGTCGTGGTGGAGGGTGCGACATGAATCTTTTACATTTCCTGGTTTTGAATTTTTTCGTAAAAATTTACTAGGTGTCATGATTATAAGCATCTTTGGTAAATTCTCTGACATGTGAGGCAACTTGAAGTGAGATGAGATTATAACTGAGAAAGTGGCCAAAATAGAAACCTCTGAATTCAGCCTTGTGTGGTCTAAACTTTTGCATATTACCAAGCTATTCCATAGCGTTTTCTTTCAGTGAAGCCAGTGTTAGACTGGTGCATATTCCAAATTCTTAGAACAGATCCAATTTATATATTCATGTCTTTTTGGTGCGCATTTTGAACTAGTGTTTCACTCAGTGTAGAAACATACAGAACTTGAAGCAACTCGAGCTGGTGTTGTCTACTGTCTGCCTCGATTTCCATCTTTGAATGCAGTCGTGCTATTTGCTCGTGGTTAACTATATTATTCTTTTCGATGATTCATCATAGTAACACGGAAAAGGACAAAGAAACGAAAAATATGCTTCATTGACAGATTACTGCACGCGACACGACATGAGAGTTGTTTATCGTTGTTTAGGGAGCAACTTCAGGATCAAAGGTATTAACTAAGGTAGAGTATTTTAAACACAAAAATTGCGCTAATTTTATCAGAAGAAAACACTATATCTCTGAGCCACAGAAGCAAAGCGAATCTCAGGCTTTCGATTCTCCCATCGCTAGTGCGATGAAATGAGAATTTGTCCTTCCTTGGATTACTTGAAATAGTGATGTGCTTTCTAGTTCTTTGCATTAAGTTACATTCAGTTCCAGGAAGTGGTTCGTGAACAAACTACTTTATGCAACAATAGCACAAAAAATATATGTACCGAAACAGAGCAGATATTCCAGTCTGTCAGTCGAGACAACGTGAAAACGATTCAATTCATATATTTTAACCGTTCCAGTGCCTTCCATGATTGCAAATGTATCCTCCCTTCACTAACATTGTGAGACACTAATTTCAAATGTCAATTCTTCTTTGGTCTATTTTCCAACGTTACTGTAGTCTATGTTTTGTGGCCACTTGCTGTTTTGAGCTTGTTGTATTTCTGAAAAATGGATTTTCGGAATAAAAAGTGCTCGCTCCAAGATATTTCTTGTGCAGAATTACATATTACACTGTCGTGTCTGTACACTGTAACTGTTTAAATCTGCACTAATCCCGAAATACGTGGTTATGTTGAGTGTACCATGTACCATCACCGATGGTGCGACTGATACCTTGAAATCAAAATAAGAAAACTGCAACTGCAATTGAATGTATGAATGAAATCTTGAACAGTTTCGGACCAGTGGTGTCAAAATGTCGTTGAGGAATTGGAAAGACGTGTATGAATGTGTTGAAACGCAACACCTAACAAAAATTTGAGTGAAAAGGCTTTTTCATGTAAGAATATGGAAGTGAAAGTTTGCAAAGGTAGGATAAACTATCAACCCCCAGTAGGTGATGTTGAGTTAATATAATCACATATGGATTACAAAAGTTGCAATAAACATGCAGAAACCTTCAGCTAAACTGAAATAAATGGATTTTACTCAGCCATCAAGCATTTTTTTTTAATTTTGGCTCAGTTTTATATAATTTCATAATATTTAATAAACTGAAAACATGTCAATGGCAAGCTGTCACTTAATATTTTACAGTGTTTTGTTTTGAATACTTTGATGCTATTTGCTGCCAAAAATTTGACGGAGAGATCTTGAGGCTGATTGGGTATATTTGAGGGACTGTTTAGTACTCGTACCCTATTGGTGCAGAATAATGGTTTGTTAAATTGAGAAATCCGCCCTAGTCACGCAAATCTTCCATAAAATATTTTTTGATTTGTCACGTAATTGGGATAAGGCTGAAACGATATCGCTTTATTTCATTTCGTGATATGGTTTCCAATTTTAGTGCTACAGTGGCCAATCTACAGTCTAAAGTAGAATCTCTGACAACTACGAATGCACTAATGAAGGAAGATATGGCGATATCGAAGAATAATTTGCAGTCCCTGTATGAAGAGAACAGACGATTACGCAAACGACTAGCAGGAGGAGGGGATGAAGGTATTACTTTTCTCTAGTTTCATGATAAATAGGCGACATTTCCTTAACGCACAATATCAAATTGATTTCTGATCCACCAGCTCAATAATTCTACCGACATTACCGCTGGAATCTGTTCGTCTGAGCTCTTTTGCATGATGCTGTTGCTTTTTGAGCCTTCTAAATGGACTCGCTCATCAATCCAAGTATTTCATAGTGTATAAGTGTAGGTACAATCGATCTTTTATTTCTGGGATATCGAGGTCAGTTTATTGCAAATCCGTCATACATTGAAGTTGTCAAGTTTTTCGATTTTTCTATAATTATTTTGTTTTTAGAAGGTAGTGGTGGAGGGGAGGATGGAGCTACAAGCACAAATAATGATGGAAGGAGTGAAATGCCAGGAGAGGTAGAAGAATTGAGACAACGACTAGAGGAGGAACGAAAACTTAGAAGAGAGGCAGAAAATGAACTAGACATTCAGGTCTGTTGATACATTGATATGCCGATATTATTATTACATGTTTTACAGCTTGTTAGTTTCTGTCAAACGCCAAAAAAATCGTATTATCCTATGCATCGTGCTTGCTACAGTTTGGGGAATTTGACAGCAACTGTTGTGCAGTGATCACAAGATTCGAGTTATGTGACATATCCAAACAATTTGTAGTAACCAAAATATTTTTTGCTGTGGTTATGACAATTTTTATGTTGTCTCAGATGTGTATGAAGGCTGAAATGGAAGTGGCAATGAAGCTTCTGGAAAAAGACATCCATGAGAAACAGGACACGATCGTATCTCTGAGGAGACAGCTTGATGATATCAAATTAATCAACCTTGAAATGTACAAAAAGCTCCAGGTATGTAAGTTTTATTGCTAGAAGTTTCAGTTTGGCTTTCGCGTTCTATCAGTCTTCTATCCATCACGTACAAAATAAGGCAGTCACATTTTCGTTATGTTGTAGTCCAAAACAACAGATATTTTTAGGAAAATTCTTTGTGCTGTGTCAAAACCTCGCATAAATTATTTGTTGTTTTGATTTATAGGTTACTCTTACTGCACTTTAGGGGAACGATTGCTTTAGCTTCGACGCTACACGTCTTTCGCTGAATTACCTTTCAGAACTTAAATGGAAAGTCAGTTAAACACGATATGGTAAATTTATCGAGAAACAAAAATATTATTGTAATTTTTGGTTAATTTGATCAAAGGGGTCGTATGGTAATGCCAAACGATGTTTTGAAAAGTGTGTTTCTAGTATGTTTTAACAAATAAAGCGTGTCCGATTGGGTACTTCAGGATTTTGTATTTAAACAAAACCGACAACCTTGGAAAAATATGATGCCTGTTTATATTATCGGATTAAAGAAATATGTAAGATGTATTCTATAAATAATGTTCTCAAAATGCCCATCTTAGCTGTTTCTAGAGATATTGACCTCTCGATTGAAATTTTCATTAACCTTTTAGCACAGTTCTGGACCAATTTCAAGAATAATTTGAGGAATGTTTTGCTTCTGGTCATTAATCGTCTTCGAATTATTTGAATAGATTTGATTCTTGAGGAAACCCCACAAACAATGTCAAATAAGATTGTATTGCATGATCTTGCAAGCCCACGGACAATACCATTGCAATAAATCATGCAGATAGTAGGAAATTGTATATGGCAGTTTCAAAGTTTCCTTGACATGTGACTATCTTGTTGAAATAACATGTTGTTATGGTTACTTAACTGGGGCCACCAAAAGTACATATTTGTATATAAACATTAGCATTCCTTCATCATAATTTTAATGAAAAAATGAAAGAGCTTTCTGAGTATATTTGCACAGTTATGATGCGATCTTTCGTTGTAAAACAATTCATAGTTCGTTTTAGATGACTAAGGCGCATGAAATATCGTCGTTAAGTCGTTAAAAATGGTTCCAAATTTGAATCCTTAAGTGCCTAGTCGATTTGACGTATTTACTTTATAGTATTTACTATACATGGTGTCCTGAAATTTGGGACTTTCCTTTTCAGAAATAACTACATTTTATATAACAAACCTAATATGTGGTAAAACATCAGAAAAAAAATGTAAAAATACTCATTATTGATTTGATCGGGAATTTCAGGTACTGCTCTTTCACATTTTTTGCTCATAATTACTGTTGAAGTTGTCGCCTGCCAATTCAAAAACACAAGTTTGTTTGCAGGATGTAAACAAACCTACCTAGCTCGGAAACATCGGAACGATCTGAGTACATTCCTGTAAACTAACATCAAATCGATAACTTCGTCATTGCTATAGTAAGGTGCCAATTTTAGGTTTTTAAATCCGATTTTAAATAAGCTAGGTTAACCTACACACCGCGCGGCGCCTGATTTTGATACTAATGTAACATGGATACTAACGTAACACAACGTACCTTGTGACGTATGATGCATGGTCGGGATGGCCCACGAGTTTTTCGGAACTTGGTAACTCGATTATTTTAAGGCTTTGGTGTTTGTGTGCCTAGGAAAACTTGCTGATTGTTGCTTGACCTATATGCTCTGTAAAGTCCCAACTTTAAGGACATCCTGTATTTTGGCTTTTCGCATTTTGCTTTCATTCTCCTACTACAAGTGTGCTATCTGCAGGAGTGTGAAATGGAACTAACTCAAAAAGGTGAGATGGTCAGCAGGCTACAGGCCAAAGCAGGCCAGATAGGCAAGATACTGAACAATCTGGAGAAATACAACCACTTGCTAAGAGACACCAGCGACAAAAAGCAGGGGGCGTGTCGTGCTCCTCCAGACAAAAAGCCGAGGAGTATGATTGGCCGGTCGAAAACAATTGATGAGGGGAAGGCGGGGTGTAGTAGCGAAGGGGGTGGTCATGACGGGGAGGGGGACCAAGCTGTAGTGGCCTCCGATTCTACAGAATCGTTCGTCAAGTTAGATTTGGATTTGCAAGATGTGGAAGGGGATAAGAAATGATTTCGATGTGAATTGAAGACTGTTTAAGGTTGCTGCACATCATTTTGGATCTTGTAGTTGTTAAGCACAATTTTATCGATGCTTGAAGCCAAGTGTATACTACTTCGCGAATTATTACTTCAATTATGTTTATTTGTGTATTGCCGAATTATTTTGTTGACAGCTGACCCAAAAATGACGAACTGAGAGTGAAATCCATTTTTGTGTTTTAAGGATACGTGGAACCTTGTCACTACTAAATCTGTCAACCTAAACCTTTGCTTATTTTTGAGAATTAGTGGCAGAGCTTCAAGGGAGCACCATACTGTCTAATCCATTTTTAAAATCGTTACTCGTAATTTATTACTTGTTCCAGAATATTTATATCAGTAATAAAAAATGTGCAGCAAGCTTTAACAGTAATTCTCGATTTTTTGATCTACGTCTGCAATGAAGCATTTTCCAAATAATTCGTTTCATCTTAATTTTAGTTCTTACATCTGGATGACATATTTCCTTAGAACTATTTCTATTATAAAAATAAAAAAAAACGTTCACTGAACATGTTTGCGATTACAATGCTCCACTCGCTTATACACAACAACAAAGACTTCATTGTTAGCCCCTTCTTTTGAGAATTTAAATGTTATATACAGGGTGTTTCACAACTTATCCGACAAATTTTAACCACTGTTACGAAAGAAGTTGATTTCTCAAAAAAAACAATGTTATAAAAGTCCTACAGAAATTAAGTTATAATATAATGAATTGAACAATACATATCTGTATTTTGCGTTCATCGTCGTGATATTATAAGCATTAATAATTTATTGTAGCAAATCTTGTACCAAACAACTGACGAAAACAAAATGCCAGGAATTTTTGGTATTTTCATACTGATAAGAACGTGTAAATAAGGTTTAATCTGTATCGTGGGTGATCTGAATGAAGAACGGTCGAGTTTATGTTTTTAGTTATTTATGAATAAAAATGGCACATGTGTACACTAATGATTAGTTAGTGGGCATTGTTTTAGCGTACGGAGAAGCAGGGCAAAATTCGCGAGCGGCTTCTCGTTTCTATGCACCGATTTCCGAATAGGCACATACACATCACGAAACATTTAGTTCAATTGTTTTACGTGCACGTGGAGATGCGCCCAAGCTTGCATGGCAGTTAATGGAAACAATTTTGAACAGCTTTTATAAGTAGGTGAACTGTTAAACTGTATTATTTTATTATCTCGATTTCTGTAGAACCTTTATTACATTTTTTTGAGAGATCAACTTCTTTCGTAACTGTGCATATGTGGTTAAAGTTTGTCGGATAAGTTGTGAAGCACCCTGTATATTCTAAAAATCTGTAGCAGAAAGAGACTAGGTACCGTTTGTGATCATTTGAAAGACTGAAAAAAGTAAAATTTCAGGAATGTGAGGCGTCTCTAAGGCATAAGACCGAGTTGATATCCAAACTAGAAGCTAAGGCACAATCAATGACAGACACTATACAAACACTTGAAAATAAGTAGGTATCTACACTATATACATAGATTTTTTTATTTGTTTACCATGATACCTACTTGTCCTTTTTCTATCAGTGGAATAGTGTTTGCGCATACCGTTAAGTTGGAAGGACGAAATCGTCTTGTTCAACTTATTGTTTCATTAAAATGTTAGATTTATCAATTTTTCTGATTCTAACTGTATGTGTCACAAGATTCCCGGAACTTTGTTATCAAAATATCATAAAATATTTAGCCAATTTAAATGGTTTTTAATCTATGAAGGCTATTTGGCAAACCGCCAATTTGACAAATATCCTTCAAGTCTGGATGACATTTTTTAAGATTACCATGAATTGAGTCATTAGTGTTCACAGCACTCAATGTTTTGAAGATGTGTTAAATATTTTTCTGTGATTACTTAATTTCATGTCTAGTCAATTTCAAAGGTATTAAGAGCCGTAATTTATTTTAAGGCCGTTTAATCTTCCGCAGCTTTTATAAGTTAAATGTCATCTAGGTCGATAATTATCAGTACTTGATAGTTGAATATATATTGGAAAATGTTGGCAAACCTTCTCTACCAGCGAGCAGCATTTATTAGAGAGAGATGAACAATATATATTTTACATAATACACTTAGTACCTAGTCGAATAGCCATTATTGAAGATTTGTTATATTCTTGTAACATTCCCTATTTATAGGCGTTATATCTTTCTCTATGTGATGTCAATGTTAATGCAAAAAGTTATACATATATATCTCTAGCGCCAAATTGTGATTCTTTTTCTTCGCTTTTGTACATAAATCAATAAAGTTGATTCTATGAACATACGTCGGGTTTTATTAAGAACTCTTCCCAATTTTGTTATTTTTTTGATTTTGTAGTAGTTTAGGTTTGCCATTATTTTCTTTTATGTATTTTGATTAGGGCCAGCTCCATGATTTTTAATGAACGAAAATGGATTGGAATGTTCGTCAAATTTCCAACAATTGAATTTGGAACAATTAAAAAAAGTGAAGCTGGCTGTTGGTGTGGTTTGGTTGACTTATGTTACGTTACAGCATGTTTTCGATTCTTAGTTGTCTTCGAAAGTTTTAATTTTTGATAGTCTTGGAATCTGAATGTGACTATAGAATTAAAAAAATTGCAGAGATTTTGGAAAATTTCATAACAAAAGTTTAAAATGTTCACTATTCGAGAACTTATAATGTATTTTGCTCAGAGGCAGTTAAAAATATACTGGGGACCAAATGACTCTGACATCTAGACTAGAGTAGTAACTAAAATGGGCAATATTCTATCACTTTGTTAGAAAATTAGTTCTTGAAAATGAGGGGAAAAGTCGGAGTGTCTCTCTAAAGGTGAAGTTAATTTTGTGATGAAAGGTTTAATAGAACTAAATCAGCTTTATATTGTTTATTCTACTACATCGTTTTCTCGAATTGGATTCTTGCTGGAGCCTCAAGAGGCACAGCAAACTAAGTAGATATATCAATCCCCCAGTCCCAATTATTTCATGGAAAGTCATGGACATATCAATTCATCTAGTCTTGTCTACTCAGGAATAATTCATCAATTTTACAAAATCTTTCAAAGATACAGAGAAAGTGAGGCAACCCGAGTTCTGACAGAACAGAAAAAACGAGAAGTAGATATCCAGGCGGCTCACGTGGAAGAGCAGGCCGTCAGCATAGAGGGTGATCTAAAAGTAGAGAGAGAATGGAGGATGTCATTACAAGATACTATGCAGCAAGATAGGGAGAAGATATCCAAGCTGCAGAGTGAAATCTCCCAGTTGAAGGTGGTGGCTCAGGTAAGATTAAAGTACATCCAAGGAAAGATTGAAAATTATTTACCAAATGTTGCTGATAGCTATTATATGTCAAAATGTCATGTCAATTTTATGCCGTTTTATGTGGATGCAATTTTATATGTTGATACAATAGTCGCCTTTAAAAAATGAATCAAGTAGACTCATTATTTTATGTACACGAAAAGTTTACTAAATTTTTACTACTCTCCAAAGTTCGAAACACATCAAATGGCCATGACGAGATTTAAAAAAAACTCCAGAATTTTTTTTAATAATATTGATAAACGGCTTTATTTTTAATAAGACATTATAAAAATGCGCGAAGTTTAGCCTCGGCTATTCTTCCACTTAACCCTTGTGTGACATTGGATACTAGAAATTTATATACATATTCACCAGAAATGTTACAATAAAGCTATGTAAAAGTTGAATAGTAGAAACCGTTACAATTACATATACAGGAGATGCAACTTCAAATTTAGTTTATACTTCTTCGGAGTATTTTTCAGGTTCTTTAGTAGAGAATTGTATAAAGAGATTGCATTAAATGTGAAAGATCTTGTGAATATAGAAGTGTTGTGTTGAAGCATAGTGAATATTTCGGAAAAACGAATAAACGAGAAATGACGATTCTGTACAAGTATACAGGTTTCCTATTGAGCATTGGTGTGTGTACAGTTGTAACCAATAAATATTTGAAGAAGTCTTTAACACTCAGCCAGTTCATAGTAATGATATCGCCTGATGTGTGATCATATCTTGTTAGATTGTTTATCAGACTACAACTGTAATTTTGGATTTTCTGCAAACGTTTTGCTGTATATTGGTCTCGGCAGGGACAATATAATAGCATTCAATAAAGAATTTTTGAAATAACCAGTCTATCACATAATTTTTTTTTTAAATTTGGTCACAATGTTTTTGTTCACATACATGAGCTTTAATGCTAAATAGCAGTTTTTAACTATAAGAGCTCGGATCCTTAATATTTCATCAAGAACACCCTGAGGGTTTTTACATGGTCGGAGAATTTCAACTGTGATTGGTTGATACAAATTTGCTTGTTGTCCTTCAAAAAATTGGAGTTTGTTTTTGGGCTGAATAAAATCATTTGGTCTTTTTCAGTGCTCATTTCAAGAGCATTGTCCTTTGCATAATCATAGATTACTTCTAGATCTTTGTTTATAAGTGTATAATGTGAATAGAGTGGCTCTAAAACAGAAGCTTGTAGTACGCCAGATTTTATTAGCTCAAGTGATGAAACTTTGTCGCCTAACGAAACTTTTTGTTGTGTACCAATTAAATAGTGCCGAAAAAAATTCACATTTTCAGAAAGTCCTAAATAGTTCAATTTTGATAATAAGAGTTCGAGGTTAATTATATCGAAAGCTTTAGAAGAATCAAGAAGCAGTAAAAGTGTAGCATAACCTTTATCAAAACCTCGAAAAATGCAGTTTGGTAAGTTCTGAAATGTTTAATGTTTCGTTCCTAACATTGTAGTATTATTGTGTGAGAATTTATAAGCAGTGCTTTATGACTAGAATGTTTTTTTGTGATTGTTCGCGATTTTTGGCGGGTCACAGTAAAACTACCGATATCACTTTCAGACGTTCACATCGCCCACATATACATCTGCAATCTGCATCTGTCCACGGACGCTTGTGTAAACTCAGAGACATAATATGTTCTCTAGTTTCGTTTCGCCACCATAAAAATTTCCTGGTTAAGCATTAGTATGTGTGCTCCTCACCTATGGTTGTTCAGTGTCAGTGTGACAACCCACTCGTCATGGGCGTGGGATTTGAGTTGTCCATTCACTGATCTTCGTAATATAAAACATAGCCATACCTGAAAATACAAATAGTGCACAACATCGACAGAAAGCAGCGGTCCCCCATCAAAGTCAAGGTTCACACATGGGTACAGTATGGTTTATCTGTTAACTTGTTACCTATGACATTGATGACGTAACTGCCAAAGGCATATAAAATGAAGTTAAACAATAAAAATCATAACATATCGACATTTTTCCTGATTAAAATACCACCAATTTTCTGTGTATATTCTTCAGTTTGGTCCAAAAGTCATAACGACTCTAGAACTGACGATGATAAACACTGAGATTGAAATCGGCGCACAGAACATCGAAAAGCCGGCAAAAAGTACAACTGCTACGGCATTTATACGACTTTCAGAACAATATGGTTTTTTGAGTTGCTAATTCCAATTCTGGGTTTAGTTTGTCTGTATGAGGGCATTTGAAGCTCAGAGGTCAGTTAGTAACTGTAATAGTACCTGAAGGTTATTTCAAGGTCACTTCAAGAACAAATTTAAAATAAGTCCAGCAT